CTGATTCAGCCGGGCATTTAAGGTCATGAATAGTCCCATTGAAATCAATGAGATTACTCACTCACTTGAAGTTAACCACATACTTAAGTATCTTTCTGAAATGAATGTCTACACTTGCAGAACTGTTGTAGAGAACTGGTTTGCCAGAGACTGCCTACAAATCAGCTTTTTTAATGTTTGTTTGGAGAGTCTGCCAGAACTTTCCCATGAAAAGGTACATTTTTCCATCCTACTGAACTGTCAGAATAGCTAGGGGCAAGTAGGTAAAACAGATAAAATAGTCCTTTGCCTTGTTCTTTAAGAAGGTTATGCGGGGGCATAGAGTAAGCTCTTTCCACTTTACCTAGTGTGTCAAGAAAGCCAATTGTTTTCCAGACCAGTTTTCTCATATTTGTATCTTAATGAGTGAGCTTATTACTGGAGCAAATCCTCCTCCTGGGAAGCATTCTAAAATATTTATTCTAAAATAAAGTGCTGATTGATTTGCAAGATTTGCAAAATGTTATTCATATTTCATTGTTTTTCAAAAAGGCAAAAATATCCCAACAGAATTGTTCCAGAAGTTTGAAAGGAAGTCGCCTATCACTAAAGGGGAAGATGGTACTATTATTCTTATATAAATTGAATTAGTGCAATGAAAGGGAAAAACCAATATACACACTTTACCATTATGAAAACTAGAAGCTCAAAAAGGTAGATAAGTCAATCATTTAAAATAATTCTAAACAATGTAACAATGTAAACAATAATGGCTGAAGATTAATAAACAATGAACCTGTACACAGAACAAAAATCCACCTAATTTCCAAAATGAGGCTAGCTGTCCAAGAAAAAACTCTGACTTTGTAATCTGAAAAAAAGGAAAGAATTCTATACATAAAGCAAAAAAGATGTAGAAAACATGAAGATATATATAGTATACAACTTTTTTTCCTTACAGGCTGGAAGTCAGAAGCCATGTTAAAAAATGAGATACCTACAGCAGAGAACAGTATTTTGTCAATATGAAAAAGCAGTCCTTGATAAAGTTATGTGATTCCAGGTACTCCGGGCTTTATTCCAAATCGTACTTTGAACTTCCCTCACTATCAAGGAAAAGTGACAAACCTTTGTACCTTATTGCTCCACACCAAAAACATAGGTAATTCTTCTTCTTCTTCTTCTTTTTAATTTACTTTTAATTTATTCATAGAAAAAGCTAGACTTTCTTACCTGCTATTTTCATATTTTGACACAACATAGCCCCATTTTGTAGAAAAGCTGCTGAAACATGAGCACAATATAGACTATCGCTGAATTAAAGAATTATAAAGCCTTTAAACTTTGACCTTCTTCATCACTTTTTGACTAATAAATTTCTGTTTACCGCACTGGTTAACACAAATCAGCAGCTGGCAAAGCCTGTAGTGCAATTCTGAGAGGCGAAGGTGGGTTGAATAGTGACCAGCTCTTCATCTGCCAGGATTCCTTACCTGAGCGTTAAAAGGCACAGGTAAAGTTTTCTTCCAGGCTCTTCTCAAGGTGAAAAAGGAAAGTGGTTTGGGATGAGAGGCAGAAGAGGCAAGCAAGCTGTAGAATTTTAAAGGGTTCATAAAATTATCCCCTATATGTGTAGAAACAGCCAGTGAAAAGGAATGATGCCTTGTGATTGCCTTACAAGTGTACATACCCATGAGATCTGCAACAGTGGAAAGGAGATAGATGGGACAAATGCGATGCAATTGTTTTGCCAGTTCCTGTCTTTTATGACTAATCCTGTTTTGTGCTTTTGGTTCTGAGCCACTGTCTGGAACCTCCATGACAACAGCATCTTTTGACATTGGCAGTGTCCTTTCTCCCCTCCCTCTCCAGGTCCTAGTCTTTCTCACTAAACAGTTCTCTTCAATATCAGACATATGCTGACTTCTAAGTTTTGCATCAAATAACCTGATACTGATGGAAATGCGTGTTCCTTTTCCAGGCCTGGTTATGAGAAAACCCAGCAAAACATGCTGTGGGTTTATATCTGAGAACATGGCTTCTGTCCAATAACATGTCAAGTTTGTCAAAATTGTCTGACTGAAGCCCTTTATTCTCACACAGTGGTGAAATGATTTGCCTGAAGGGGAAACAGAGCATTAATAAATTGAATGAATTGTATATTGTTCATGACAGACTCTAATGGTACAGTCTTCTGTGTACTGTACATTCCAGATACCACCTCAGGTCCTGCTGATTAATATTCATCAGTATAAAAACATAAGGATCAACCTGGGATTGGTAGGATAAATCAGCCGTTCTGAGCATGCCTCACTGAAAGCATTTTCCAAGCTAGATGATATGCCCCTAGTCTTAAAACATGGCAATATATCATGTTTACACTGCCAATGGTTCATCAGTCTTATGACATGGCAAAACTGGCAATTCAGGCTTTAAATGCTCATGTCATAATGTCAAGATTAACATCCACTTAGAAATGTGGAGTAAACCAGACTTGTTCCTTTTACTGCCCTAATTGCCATAGTAAAGGATCTGAAAACATGGATATTGCCTTGTCAAGTTCTATACAATTTTTTAACTCCTTGAGAAAAAACATAGTAATTTTTTCTTTCTAAGTGATTCTTACATCTTTATGAAATACCAAGAACTTGAAAGTCTTGCTAGATTTTTTGTGGTCCAAATGAAAAATGTAAGGGGAAAAAACCACTCTATAATTTACTGCATCGTGGATTTATTACAATATGGAAAAGAGAAATAAAAAAAATCAAAGATTTCACATTGTGCAGAAATGTAAGGAAATATTGGTATGGGGTTGACTTCTGTGGTACTCTGCTTTAAGCTGATTTTCTACTGTGGAAACTCAAATGTATACTAAAATGTTTCATGCATGCTTATTTAAAGGTACAGAAATGCCAGTATTTTAGGAGAAAGTCCAACTCCAGGCATAGTGTTACAGATTACCATTGTTCAGTGAATGTCTTAGGGGTTTTAACAGCCAAGCACTTGAAAGTGAAGACATAAAAAGGGACGGTGTTTGATTTCCTAAACCAGAAATTGGTACAAATGTAAGTTTTTTACCTTACCACTCAGTAACGGGGGAAAAAAACCAACAACAAAACAACCAAGCAAAACCCAACAAAAACCCGAAAGCCCACAGCCACCAAACATTTACCCATAAGGAGTCTCCACAAATACTGTCAAAGTCCATTACAAACAGAGGTGTTTGTAAGATTCACCTCTGGAAATCAATCAGATTATACTTGTTTTCCAGGACCATTGCTAGTGTACACCTCAGATGGGTCAGTAGCATATTCTGTTTATTTAAATACTGTCTCCATATTCACTCACTTCCTCATCTGTGTGTTCCAGTTCACCAAGAAACTAAGCTCCCTGGAGAGGTTTTGTTCTCTCCCAAATGAAAAGAAAAAAAATTAGTCTTCAGCAATTCCAAGGGAATATTCTGAATTGTAATTCATTTCAGAGCAAAAAGTATCATGATAATATTTTCATAACACTTTGATGGTATTTTTCTCTTTTACTTATGCTTTGGCATAAAAAGTCATCAATAAATCACAGTCTTCCTCTTACAAACTGAAATTCATCATTCAGCCTTCTTGAGCGGCTGAAGTAACTGAAGCTACAGTATGACAAGTGGGATGATAAGATTGTAATCTTTAGGCTTACATTAATTTATTTAAAAAACCGTAATTATTATCTGAAAGTCTTTCTCAACTCTACCTTTCCTGATGGTGGTGTTCTGAAGGGCAATCTGTTCTATGCAAAGATTAAACAAATTGGTAGCTTCCCATACAGCCCTGTGACTCATTCTGCAAATCTCTCTGCTGATATCAGCATGTTGAATACCAGAAAGAAAGTGACCCAGCAATGACTCTGAGTAGCTTCATGAACTGAAGCAAATATTTACATTAATTCAGACAACGGGGAGGTGGGGTGGCAAAATGAAAGCCATATTTGTCCTACAAATTATGTCACTTTTCCAAACACAGCTTCTCTGTGCAAAAGTGAGGAGCATTTTAATTACCCTTCTCCTCCCCCCTCATCAAAATATTTTTAGGATTACTTGACTGTGCTAACTATGTGATAGCTAGTTGTCAGGAACAAAGGCCACTGTATTCCTGAGAGAAAGAGATGGTCTTCTGAGCGATCAAAATTCTCAGAGACGCACAAAAGGAGAATAGGTTGTCCCTAATTTGATAATTTGTGATATCAAATGGGCAGTTAATAACTGTGCCTAAATAATTGGATTGCAAAATACGTAAATATTGGCATAGTCCTCTTACGTTCACTGGGAAAGATTGCCTTTTACAAAAAGGTGGTTTTTAAAAAATGAATAGGAGAAAAATAAGTGTGAATTACTGTTAAAAATGTTTTTATATTCGTGTACTTCTTTAATAAAACTGTAGTACTTTTTCTTCGAACATTTGAACAGTCCCCTGGAAATCAGCATGTCTTAGAACAAGCAATCTGGGAAGACTAGCAAATGCTAGGCTGATAATCTGTTTTTCCCTTAGTTTAGCAAACACTTTAAGGTAGAGTTCAGTAAACTGAAAATGCAGAGGAAGCATTCAGATTTGTTTTCTATATATAAAACATTTTGGCTGCCTCCTGCAGCAGGTCAGATTTGTCCTTAACATATTGAGATCCCTTATCCTTTTGATGCACACACAGGACTGGGTGCATTGATAACTACTCTGTTATTGTCTCTCTTCCTTCCTTTCCTAGAGAAATGTCTTTGGTTTGCTTTTTTTTTTGGTGGTTTGTTTTGTTTTTCTCTAAAAAGGCAGCACAATCACTTCATTACAAATACAACTTTATGCTGTATTGCTTAATACTGATTTTCCAGATAAGCCATACGCTATTGTTTAGACATTCATCCGGTAAGATGATGGGAACACTTCTGACAGCAAGATGATGGGAACACTTCTGACAGCAAAACTTGAACAAAGAATTAACCAAGTAATTTTATATGAATAATCTCACATACAACACTTATTGTTCTCTTTCTGTAGTGTTGGTTCTTGGAAATTAACTTGGAATGCAAAAAAATAATATTTAAGAGTCAAAAAAGAGTTTTTCTTTCTTCAAAATGAAATAGTACAATAGCCATATTGCCAATAATAAATAGTTTACAACTAAAATTTCTAAAGCTTAAAAATTATTTTTAATTCAGTATTCCAGTGCATTCTCTTACTGCTCTTGCAACTTTAAATAGTTCTGACAAATAGTTTTCACATAATGCCATCTGTAAAAAGTAAACTGCTTTTTGGTTTTTAGTGATATAATATAGATTGAAGACAAATGCTGTCTCCAACAACATTAAAGAGAAACACAGTATACTACAAGACAGACCTAACACAAAAAGATGTTTATTTTATTGTGTACTTTGTCCTTTGAGTTCATAATTCATAAACCAAAATTTACTGTGTTCTTACATTAAAGTTTTCCTTCACAAAATCAAAGCAGTATCCTTTCTAAACTAAAAAGGTTTCAGTGGTCTCACAGGTTTCTAGAAGATGAACAATGCTGTCATTATTTGAAAGGGTTTTAAAGGACTATAATGTTATAGCTGTCAGCTATATAATTTTTGACCCAGCAATGCTGATAAGTTTGCACTGAGGATAAGTGTTCCCTGATAAAAGCATGATTTCATACCTTTGGGCTCAATCTGCTGTTTTCTCTCTATATGAATATCAGGCAAAAACAGAGGGTAAAAAAATTAAAAAATTGCTCAGGAATACCAAAACAGATTTTGCAGCTTATTTTTGGGGGAAAAAAAAAAAAAAAAAAAAAAAAAAAACAAAAAACCAAACCAACAACCCATCCCTCAACTCAAAATTCTGTCATTAGTGTTTATTATCATATATTTCTTTCTTTTAGTTCCCTAATTGTAACTAAAAGACACATCTTTTCAAATATCCTATTTTTGAGACTGAGCCAAGGAAACCAAGCAAGATAATAGGGAAATGTCAGTCCTGAAGACCAGACTAGTGGTATGCCATAGCACAGAAAATTTCATGGGGGGAAAAATAAATTGTTTTATTTTCACTCTAGACTTACTTAGCAGGGAAATTTAATCTTTGGGCAATGGGAGGGTCAAGTGCTGGCAGCATTAATCTCTTTTTAAGTTATGTAAGGGAAAAGCTTCTGTTTGTTTCAAGGCAGGATGCTCTTATACTGTTTCTATAGTCAATTCATAGGTATTCTGAGAAAGACAAACTTTCTGAAAGAGAGCACATCTAAAGCAAAACAAAGCCTCCTTTGCTGTACAGTGATTGATGTTTCTGCTGATCTCATGTTTACTGGGTATATGTTAATTCTTTATATCAAAGACACATCTTTTAGACTTGGTTCAGAAGTGTTGGCAAGATGAAAAACACTAGCACAGGCTTTTTCGACAGCTTAGTAACTGCTTAAGATTACTGAACAAAACCCCCACAGTTTCTCAGTCACTTACATAGAGTTATATGAGATGCAGCTACATGGTGTAACCAGACATTATTTCAGACTGCACTTCACCCACCTTGACTAACTAGTTCTCTTTTTCAAAGGGAAATGCAGAGAAAGATTTTTGAAACTTCAAACGACAGTTCTATGGTACTTCCAGCATTTTACCACTCCCTTCAAAAGTTGGGGCTCATTTTAAGTTACACCAGATTTCTGGTTTTTTTAGTCATCTTGTTTCTACTCATAGAATAATGGCAGTTCCTCTTCCAAACGCAGAGATGCTGTTCTGTCTTTGGTCTCCTAGTGCAGTGTTTAGGGCCCACTGATGGAAGATGCAAGAGCTCCTGCTTGGCTCTTCATACTTTCACAGCATTTGTGGAGACATAGTCGTGCAACCTTGAGATCAATAGTAGACCTGGCAGCTGGCAGAGAGATTTCAAAAAATTTTAATTGCTCTTTTGAAAGTGCCTCAAAACTTCATAACTAGACTGTCTTGGCAGAATCTTTAAAGAACTGCAGTTTTCAGATGTGAAAATATAAGCTTTTTTTTTCCTCCGCTTCAGTAGTTTGCTTGTGAACCAGAGCATATTCACTTACTAGCTGGTTCCTATTATTAACAGAAAAGAGTCATTTTAAAACAGAAAGCATACTCAATTTACCTTATTTTTGACTGTCTCTTATTGTCTCTGAATTACACAGGTTCCATAGTGGAATGTCTTTCAAAGACAAAACTTCAGTGGTATGGAAATAAGAATGGACTGGGTGTTGCTCATCACCTGTGATTTTACAAAGTGTCTTGAAATGGTTTGTTATGCATGAAAGCAAGCTGAGCGTCACAAGAGCCAAGGTGGTAGAAAGTGACAGAGGATAATGAATTATATTTGCTGGGTTTACACTTTTTAAAATACTGTTGCTTTTATCCATTTGAAACAAACACAGCTTTGTAAAGTACTTTCAGATACTTTACTCTATGCTACTGAATCCTTTTTATTAGTTCTCTAAATCAGATAAAAAATTACAAAGAAGCCCATGCTAGAAGAGGGCATCCAGATCGCTTTTTACCACAAAAAGATTCTGCAAGACCAAGGTCAACCAGATAAAGAGGAAGCTGAAAGAAATATGCAAACTTTAAAACCAAAGTTGAAGACCCAATGCGAATACTTTTTTAATGAGCATTGAACATTTTCCATTGTCTAAACAGTCAAGTAGTAGTTCAGGTGTAAGCTATTTGACTAATTTTAAGAGATGATCAAATTTCATGATCTCTCTTAAGTGACAAGTCAGAGTAAATTACTGACTATGGAATCCTGTTAATGAAATTAAGGAACTTAGTCAAACCTAAATCTCTGAAGTGTTCATGTTCTTGGATATCAGAAACAAACACCTGAAAATTCTTGTTTACTTGTAACAGTCTGCTGACACCTCTGTTTTGGCATTTGTACTCTTTCTCCACTTCCAGTCGAGATGTGGAGGAATAAAAGCTTCTAATCACATACAGCTTTTATGTCACCACTTCTGGTAGCGGGCTTTTTCCCCCCACCTTTGGTTCCCATTTAAATGGACTTCTATATCATAACGTGATAAATCTATCACTGATGTAATTACTCTTTATCCAGTATTACAGCTGTGAAAGAGTGAATGACAGCTATAGACTGTATTTTCCTTGAAGTAATTTCAGTGTAACTTGAGGGGATATTTGAGAACGTATGTTAAGAATATTCTTTAATTTTTTACACAGTAGAAAAATTTTATGTGCGTCTTGGCCTACTGCCCAAAATCTCAGTTGATGAAGAAAAGACTCCATATACTGCACATTCATTAAATTCAGAGGGAGTATACATCCTGATATTTAACTTCCATGCCAAGCAATAAAGGTAGAAAAAACTTTCAAGATAGCCATACTTTTATATCAGGTATTTAGTTCTGTTCCTTAGATTAAAATAATTTAAAGTAGTAAAACCTCTTTTGAATTCACATTTGAAGTTCTATTTAATGTTACACTGAGAAATAATTTTTCCCAAGGTTTTTAATTCAAACTTTTTTTTTTTTTAAGCCATGTCTAGCAGTCATAAACTTGGGAAGGAATTAAAAAAAAAAGTTAAGCCAGTACAGCATTGTTATTTGAGGGCTTGCCTCCATTTTTCTTCAAGCTATCTGAAATACCGAGGTTGATCTCAGAAACAGAACTGAGAAGGCTCATTCTTGGAAACCACACATTTCTTCACTATTTGAAGAAATCATGATGTTCAAAGCAAAACATACATGTCTTGGTTTTTAATTTTGAGGGACACAGACATCTTCTGTATTAAGAAGCAACGGAGCTAGCCCACAGAGCACAAATTACCACTTTCAATTTCTTGATTTTCTACCTGTTCTTCACATTTAATGTTGCTCAAGACTGGACAAGACAGATCCATGGAAACATGGCTTGGAAGAGCAGAACCTTATCAAATTATTACTTTATCTCAGAATGAACCAAAAGAACATACATCTGCTGCTGCATGTGCTAGTTTATTCCTTTAGAAAGTGTAAAAAAGTTCTTAAGTGGGACACTGCCTTATACTTATCAAATATTACTTCCTTTGGTGAGGGAATTTCATGTTTACTGGCAGTAAGAACACTGCCAGACATGACAAAACAGAACACTTTTAGATGATGTGTAAGTATCAATACCTCTTTCACTATCTGTACACTGGAAATACACATTCATTATGTGTTATCAGTATCAATATCTCTTTCACTATCTGTACACTGGAAATACACATTCATTATGTGTTAAAGTGTCTAGTTCAATTCTATTTCTTTTATTCTAATTTTTTCTTACTGTAGAAGGATAAAACTTTCGGGCGTTTATTATAATTCTGAAGCAGATAAAAGAAAAATCTACCTTCTAGTCTTCTGCACAAAAGCATGGACCAGGAGACTTTCCATACAACAGTTACTGTTTTAGTTCTCAGCTGTTTTTATCATAACTGACTAGCTGCAGCTCTCCACTGCACCAACAAGCACAGAAAGGTTAAAGCAAACCCTTACTTGCAAATCAGGAACCAAAAGACAGTAGGACAACACTGCCTAATAAAAAAGCAAACTTAGAATCAGAATTTAATGGCAAAATTAGACAAGAGACATGAGAACATTGCAAAAAGAAAGAAACTCCACACAGAAAAGTTTATGATACTTTATATTTCAAGTGAAGACAGCCTAACAGAACCAAATTTCATTGCTTATAAAAGAAAAAATATTTTTAGAGGTATTTTCAAGATTCAGATTTAAGGCTCAATAAAAACAGTGTCTTTGGAAAGACCAAACCTGATAGTCAATAAAATTTATGGCAACATATATTTTTTAGAAGATATTTTATTGCTAACAAATACAAAATTGTTGCTCTCATTCCCTGATGTCTCATTTTAAAGATAAAGCTTTTTCTTCACCACTTTTAAAGACTTGTAAATACAGCATTGTAAAAAATGGAAACAAAAAAAATAGAAAGAAAAATTGTGACAATAAATTATGAAAAAGAAAATGCGAGGAGAAGAAAAGCCCAACCTACCAAGGAGAAAATGCATTAGAAGCAACAGAAAAGTTATGCAGTAGCATTGAAGTATCATATTATGTTCTCCTTCCAAGAGAACTTTGGGGCTTTTGCACATGAAATAAAATAGCAGCAAAGAAAAAGAATAAGTACAAGTGCATTTGTGTCCCACTGGAACTTTTCCTTATTAACCAAAACAGTAGTACTCATCAGAATCAATTTTGGGATGCTTATGAAGAGGCTGTGGGTCCTCCGTAACAGAAGAATCACTGAACTTGTCCATATCTGAAGGACTTTGGTGACCAGGGACATCATCCACTAAGGTGTCCAGATAACTCCCCACTGATATTCCATCCAGTCCATCACTACAGTCTTGTAAACTGTTACAGCTGTCATGGAGGGATGTCTCCTGACTTTCCAGCAAGCTGCACAGGCTGCCACTCAAACTGCTGCCTCTACTGGCAATGGCTTTCTCTTCAATCATCCACTTGATTGATTCAATACTTTCATTGATGATGAGGAGCTGGCGCATAAGTTTCACATCAGTGGCTCGGAGATTAACCTATAATGCAAGAGGGATTAAAAAATTACTCTTTTTTCTTCAAAATCAAACCAAATAGCAGGCTGGAGGCAAAGAATGGGTTAAAAGAAAACACATTAAAAAAATCCAGCTTTCAAATCTAGAGCAAACCTATTTCAATAACTAGTAAAAAAAAAAAGTATTGCTATACTAATGCTTTCAATGAAGGTCAAGTGGGAACCTAATAAGTCCTACCTAAGCAGTCCATTAATGGGAACGCTAGTCAATGACAATATTTATACACACACTGATACTACACTATTTAGATGAGAAACACAGCTGCTATGACAACGCTTGGGGATAGCTTTTCACTAATCAGAGAAGCAAGACACCAAGCCATTTCTATTTGCAATTACTCCAAGCTACTTGCAGCTACAGGCACCTAAGCATTCACCCAAAGTTATCTTTATTGGGTAACCTAAAATTTTCAGATGTGCATCATTTGGAAAAAAGCTTGTGGACATTCAACTTTTACTCACATTACTCCTGTGTTGATGTTACTATCTGCTGTATAAATGTCTGAGTGCTAAAATATTGAACTTATTGAAAATATAAATTTCAATTATTTAAACCTATATTAGATGAAGGTGATGAGTTCATAGTCAAAAGAGCAACAATTTGCAATAAATAACTAAATAAAAAATGGACATTAAGTACCAACTCCTACTTTCCCACTTAATTGTGGTGGTCGATGCATACACACAGAAGTGTTAATGGCAATGCACAGTGGAACATTGTGGTATTGCCTTTCACAGACATACTCAAATTAAATGACTTCATGTTTTCCTTAATAGGCTAACTATATAAGCCAATTTATGAGCCAGCCACTTCAGAAGCCACTTCAGATGACAAATAAAGGTGAGACCTAAGGGTTATATTCGTTGCTGCTTTCTCTTAATCTGAAATATAACAAGTATTGGCAAAAAAAATCTGTGACACCTTTGAACATCTTCACTCAATTGAGATATAAAGAAAAACACAAGTAAGATCTGTTACATTAGACAATAGATATTTTATGCTATTCTCCATGTCGACAACTGTTATACAGAAAAATAGTACCTGTATTGTTCATACACAATGGACTGGAACGGAATCTGTATTCTCAGGAAGCAGAGACTGTATCTTGTTTTGCTGAGAGTACAATCTGAACATGGTTCTTTCCATACTCAAATGTCATATTCTCAGTACCCTAATTACATTGACCTGGTGCAGTTGTTCAAAAAGTTATTTTATTGTATTTCTATTTTGCTAGATACCGCAGAAGATTGTACTGGCTGTAGCTGGGGTGCTTCCTAGCAGCCAGTGTGGTGCTGTGCTCTGTATCTGTGACTAAATCAATGTTGGTAGCACACCAGTGTTTCAGCTGTTGTCGAGCAGTGACTGCACAGCACCAAGGCCTTTTCTGTTTTTCACTCTGCACCCTCAGTGAGTAGACTGAGACAGAGAAAGATGTTTTGAGGGGACAGAGATGGGAAAGTTGACCAGAATGCACCAAAAGGATATTCCTTGCCATATAATGTTGTGCTCATCAATAAAACCTGTGCATCTGGTCTTTCCAATCCAGCTGTTACTTGGGGACTGGCTGAGCATTGGTCTACTGGCAGGACATAGTGCATCACTGACTTTGCATCACTTGTTCAGGTTTTTTTTATTTATTTTCTTCACTTTTTAAACTGTCTTCATTATTACGTATGAATTTTTCTTACTTTTGTTCTTCCATTTCTCTCCCCCTATACCACTGGAAGAGGAGAGGGAAGTGAGTGGGCAGCTGGTGGGTGCTTAGTTACTGGTCAGGGTCAATGCAAAGACATTTCAAGCTTTGCCAGTAACAGACTGCCTAAGTAACTGTCATATGTATTCCCAGTTTCCTTCCCAATCACCAGAATCACTTCTGAATTATTCTCAATCCAATATCCCAGGATTTAACACAGTGAACCTGGTATTGTGCAAAATGGCTTTACCATTCACAGTTTTAACAATACTGTCCATCTCTCATTGTTTCAGATGTGAGGTTATGAAAACAAATTGACCATTTTGTTGTTGTTCTGCACAAGACAGTTCCTGTAGTCCTGCTAATAAATCACTAGAAACCATTTGCTCAGCAACTAGGCTGTCATGAAAGCAGTAAATTACCCAGCTTCTCAAATGCAACTACAGACTTTGGCAACTTTCTGAATATAAGCAAACTTGGAGACAAGTTTCCCAAAAGGCTGATTAAGAAAATGTTCAACAGAACTAGAACTAATATGACCCTAATGAAACAGCCCCTTCTAGATAAAGGGAATTTCATATATTTGAGATTTAGTTCACTGAAAACATTTTTTTGCTTTAAATACACCCACAGCTACATCCTTTTTGTGGAACAGCCTTACTGGAAGCAATTCTTTGCATTCCTGATTACTAGAGTTCTCCTCCTCCTAGCCACCATGTCGTCCCTAGTCTCTCATATCAAGAGCGTGCTTTTCCTAAAGCAAACATTAAAAAGTAGTCCAACAAGTGCCATCTTTCTTTAACATGGTTTACTTCATCATCTGCTTGATAACACAAGAATGTCAAAATGACATTTCTTGCCCCTTATCAGCTTTAGCCCAGACACAATCACATAAGTTTTTAGTCACTTACATGGCTGTAACCAATTTAAATGTTGGAGTAAACAAATCAGTCCAAGATGGTTCAGCTAAAGGCACTAAACACAGTAAAATGTCACCATGTTTGACAGCTCCATTTGTTATGCACAGTAACAGGTGCATTTCAGGAATATTGTGAACAGAATGTACCAGAGCTAATACAGGCATTTCAGAACAGTTTCTACAGCTAGTCTTTGAGTTAAAGGTAGAGCACGGCATACCATAGGGAAGGTGTGTGTTAGCATAGATCAGTTCACACAAAAACTTGTGGTGTACAGAGGAAACGATTTATGATAAGAGAGCAAAAGTTAAATTCTTGCTACAGGCTAACTTTTATATATTTTTGCTTAATTTGTATAATTACAACAGTGCAGATCCACAGGAAGGATCATAAATGTTTAATATTAACAGCTAGTCACAGTAAGAGAAAATAATGAAATTAAAGTGACAGCATCTTTCAAGTAACACAGTCTGGTAGCACAGGTGGACAGATTAGCATTCAGACAGAACCAGATCTTTAGTCTGGAAGGGATAGCTGGTCTATGTCTGTGCCTCTCTCATACTGTTTGTTCTAACAAAATATTTCTTCCTTACGCAACTAGCCTTGTTTTGGTCATCCATAATAATATGCACAACACTGGCTTATATATTCAAGAGAATTTATATTTACAAACATATGGGCATTTGTGTACATATATATGTACAGACATATACAAATATTCACGCTATTTTTATATATATAGTGTTTTTAAAAAAGGACTTGACAAGGTTATTGTTTTTAGAATAAAACTCTTAATGACCAGGGCTGCTAACAAAGACAATTATCGCCTCCTGGCCTTCACCCAAAGTAGTGCATTAGCTGTCCCTAGACTGGTCACTTAGCTTTTGGATCAAAGTTGCACTTGCACTCAGAATATGGGCAAAATGGACTTGTGTTTTCCTGCTGCATGTTCTGTAGGCAGAGTTTCCAGTCTGGTCCAAACATAGCGGGTCCTGTTTCCTTCCAAAAATGACAAAGCTAAAAATTCTGTTCAATATAACCTTTTAATATCTGAAAGCTGTTTGAAACTCTAGTTTCTTCTTGCAGATTACTTTCTTTTAAATTCCTGAGCTCACATGTTGCTGCTTCTTCTAACTACAGAGACTCTGCAGGGATATTAGTGTCAATGATAAAATATCATCTGTTTATTATTAAGTTAAATATCATTAAGTTTATTTAAACTATTTTAGTTTCATTTTTTCCTCAACACTTTCACGTTGTGTGCTGTAAAGAGCTCCTTAATAAAAGAAAAGAGTGAGCCTAAATAATAAGGTATTTCCTTCAAGACAAGTCTTTTAGCCAGATCACAGTGAAATAAGTCCCTACAAGGCACAAAATCTTATACTTACAAGTTAATGGATTCAGGGAGGTATTTAAGTCATTTATAACAGAAGTTCTGTCCTGCACAAGGTCTCGAGCAGGAATCAAACATGGACCTAGTGTTGGTTACTATGGAATCTATGTTCTAAAGCAGTATGAGTTTGGACACATATTGCACAATAAATGGAAGTTGTATGGAAACAGTAGCAAAGGACAGTACTACATGGAAAGTCACTCAGAGGTTCAGCATGTGAGAAGTCTTGCAGAAGATAATGAATATGTGAAGAGGGTTAGATGAAACAGGCACTGGAGTCAATTCCATCTGCTGTTAAATGCTGCCATACCCATCTCTATTTCACCTTTTACAAACAGAATTTCTAACCAGGAGAACCTTTCCATGCCAAGTAGGTGCATGACCACCACAGTCCAGGAATATTAACACTACTGTTGTTTCATTTTTCTAGGATGTGTCAGTCACTCCTTCCTACTTTCCTATTCAATTTCCACTATTTCCTGTATCATTCAGGATGAACAGCTTGCCTGCTATGCCTACCTCCCCTTTCTTTTTTTAAAGGCAGATTACCTCAGTTTTCCATGGAATAATGACCTCTGTGAATTATTTTGAGATATAATTTAAAAAAACCCCTAAAAATTAATGTCCAAGTAATACTTTGGTTTGCATTCTGCAATGTCTCTTTTGTCAAAAAAGCTAGTTTTATTCCACTTTTTCCTGGTGTTACTTTTGCTATGACAAACACTGAATAACAATTTTTAAAGAAAATCAATTCACAAAGAGAAAGATGAGAGTGTGGAAAGTAAACAGCGGTTAATAATATTGAATTTTTCAAGTCTTATCAAGATACAAATATAATAAGGAGATACATAAGGATAAAAAACTGAACAATTAAACCTCATCAGCCAATTCTGTGAGAGAATATACATAACAAGCTAAAAAAACAACAAACAATCTATTCAATGTACAAGATTCAGAATAT